CGAACGGCCGAACGCATCCCCAAGGGGTCCCATACGTTCGAGCGTTCGGGTTTGGGCATTCGGCCCGTCCCGAACGCCGGATATATATATATATATATCGTCAAACAGAACTGCCCGGTAAACCGTAGGCAGAGAGGGAGAAGAGGACAACAGACGAGGGCCTATATATACATATGTATATATTCTCCGGGTTCTTTTTTTTTTTTTTTGCAGACAAGATTGCTTGACATCCTGGTTGGTCTTGTCCCGTCGTTTGGCCTGTGGGCAGGAGCGGTGCTTGCATGTGGGACTCGTCATCTGGGATCTGTTTTGTTGCCCCCCGTTCTGTATTATTTAGCTGTCCCCTTCCTCTTTTCTTTGCCTCTTTGCCTTTTGGCTGTGTGCAAGTGGGTCGATATGACACACAGGGGTGGGGGCAGCTGCCGCTCAACCTACATCCACGTGGGCCGCCTTGTACGCAAGAGGTTTTGAACAGGGGGAGTTATAAGGAAGAAAATAAAAAACTGAATTCATTTTTTTCTTTTTTTTTTTTCTCTTTTTTTTTTTTCGCATTTGCGCTCTGATATTCTTGTGACGATATATATATATATATATACAGTTTGTCACAGCCCCTCGTTTGTTGTCCTCTTCTCCCTCTCTGCCTACGGTTTACCGGGCAGTTCCATTTGACGATATATATATATATATAGGGTTGCCGGCGTTCGGGACGGGCCGAACGCCCGAACCCGAACGCCCGAACGTACGGGACCCCTTCGGAAGGCGTTCGACCGTTCGGGCCGAATGCGGACCGACGTACGGGATCCCTTCGGAAGACGTTTGGCCGTTCGGGCCGAACGCGGACCGAAAAAAAAAAAAAAAAAAACATTTTCCAAAAATTCCCGAAAAAACATATGTTATGGAGAAAAATAAACTAAACAACATTTGCCTGGGACCTGGACCCACTAGCAAGGTATTCTACCACGCCGTTCAGGATTTCGATCACGTGTGGCATCGAGTGACTCAGTACGGCCATCGAATAGATCGGATCTCGACGGCCTGGTAGTTTCCGAGCGGGGACTGTAAAGATGCCCACCTCCCGTCCAATGAGATGCGTGGAAAAAAAAAAAAAAACGAAGTTGGACTAACTTGGACATGATAGCTCGTGGCTTTGCATGGGCGGGAAGTCTGGATTTTATGGGCTCTAAAGGGGGGGGGTTGATTTCCAGACTTCGTTTTTTTTTTTTACTGGCTATGAGAAAGAGAACTTGAAATGTGAAATTCGAATATTGTGGTGCATCTGACAGGAACGCTTCCGCGTCTGTCGGATGGCTTGCTAAAGGCATCATGAAATACATCGCGAGGAATGTATCCCAATACCCTTTACTTGTTCATCCTCGTGAATGTCTCCGTGGACACATTTTATTGCCACGGTACATCACTATGAAGACTTACGTGAGGGAGATCGTACCAACCCATGAATTCGGGTGCACAACTGTTCTTCATAGTTTTATGTGCTATTTCTATTCATTTTAAATCATAAAACGGTCCTTTCATGCAAATAAAAAATCACTTTGTATTTTCCAAAAAAACATAAAACTGTGTCACACGTCGTAGAATACTTCGCTAGTGTGTCCAGGCCCCTGGGCACTGCATCCAAATTTTTTACCAAATTTGAATTAGAAATCAAATACAGAAAATAAACACTATGATAAAAATAAGAAAAAATAAAAAGAGAATTGAAATGAGTGAGTGTGCCAGCACCTTTTCGACACCGCCATTTTTGCTGATTTTTAATTATTTTTTAGCATTGACAAATGCCCTGAAAATTTACAGATATGTAGTTTATATAATCAATAACTCATTAAAAGTTTTTCAAAAAATAATAAAATGTTTTAGGCCCCGAAATAAAGTGAAAACAAAAAGTTAAAAGTGAAAAAAAACAAAATAGTGAGTGGGCGAGCACGTTTTAACACCCCCATCTTTGACGATTTTTAATGTTTTTTTGGCTTATCAGAATGCCTTCAAAACTTATAGGCGTGTAGGTTACATCATAGAGAGCTCACAAAAACAAATTCAGAAAAACAAACTTATTTTTAGGCCCCAAAATGTTTTTTGACGGGGGCCGAACCTGGAGGTGTTCGACCCCTGAACGGGACCTCGAACGCCCAAACGTTCGGGGGCCAGCCCGCGGGGCCCCGAATGTTCGGTCAGGTAACCCTGTATTCCAGAAGGACAAGAAACAATTCCAGGAAAGGTACCAGAACACATTCCAGAAGTGGTACCGATGAAATTGGACCTCACCTCACATGAATGGGACAACCACAACAACATATAAACGACGGGTTGCGTGCACGTGCCCTCACCTCACTGTAAGTCAATAAGCTGAGCTGGATGCTGCTTCCGGAAAATATTTTCGGGTACTGAGCCCCACTACCGGTAGTGGGGCGCTAGTTTTCCTTTCGAGTAAATGTTCAATGTGGCCACAGTGCAGCTGTGAAATGGTCAGATCGGATGACAGAAACCAGTGCGTAGTCCAAACCAAGTCTAAACCCCGGTTAGTGGGACTTAGCGCCCGGTTGGTTGTGAGGTATTCCAGGCCAAGTTTGAAGTTCAGGGGAGGGGGGGGAGGGGGGGGAGGAGGGGGGAGCATCACCTCTTGGTAAGGCAAGGAAATGTTAATTGGATCATGGCATTCAAGAAGTTGTGTAGGCGAGCAGGCGGCCTAGCTTGGGCAGGTGGTCTCGGCGATGTTGCTTATTTGGGCAGGTGGTCTCGGCGCTGTTGCTTATTTCGATGGCCATGTGTTAGTGCATCTGCTCACTACAAAGTAGCGCCACCCCCCCCCCCGCCGGCCCCCCCCCCCATTACAGGAGTCCTCGGACTCTGTCTCTTATACACATCTAGATGTGTATTCTCT